CAGTTTTAGGGTCTTACACAGAATTAAACCAAACAACATGAATCAAACATGCACTTTATTTATTTCCACTAAATAACAAAAGTACATCAAATTGGATTGAAGCTAAGGGCATACAAAACTGTCTAACAGAGATAACATATCAGTCAATGAAGTTTATCATTTCCTCCCGATCCGGGAGGGGATAGGATAATGCCTGCTATGACGCAGCATGATCCTGGGAGATTCGAAGTCCGCTGAGAAGCTTTTGGACTCGATTACGTGTCACTTCGGTACTCGCGTGTTGAAGTGGCTTTGGTACTGAGATGCTCGAATACCTGGGCTCCCAAACTGCTAACAAGGCTCTCCTTGCAGATTTGTCGTCATGCTAGCAGGTCATGTTCACTTGTCCTTCACTTACTAGGTCGGGCCAAATCATCCCTTATCAATTGCCCCCACTCCTCATGCCAGGGGTCCTAACTTGGTGTAGGGAGTTCATTACAAGTCCAGGTGGATTTGGCATGATGTCTAGATGACGCGGAGGGCGGATCTTCGGTCGGACCTGTATGACCGCTTGGCTCGACCAGGAAATGACCGAGATCGCGTATCAAGTACGTGCGGACATCACGCCATTTATAAACTCTGCGGACATTAAAACGCGCACTCAACTGATTTCAACCTTGGGTGGCGTGCAGACGGTTTTCACAAGAGCCGTTGGATCATGCGGATCTTGGTCGTTGAACCTCGGATATGGTGGCTATAATAGGGGCCGAAGGGCCCATTTTTCTCACCACAAACTATGTAACTGAGTTCCTTGAGATCGCGTCCAAGTCTCCCAGCTCGGGGTCAACTATCCCCGTGTCCGAGGTCATCCTGCTTTCTTCAGTCTTCTTGGTGAGTTCACCTTTCTTTTTTTCCAATTTCGTTGTCCTATTTCTTTAGCTCAACATGTCTAGTGTTAGTTTAGATAGCCTTTTAGATGGGAGAGGCAAGTCCACAGGGGCCGAGGTGGGCACCTCGGCGCAGGCCGTGGAGTCTCGTCTTGCTGAGGTGGGTACCTAAGCGCAGGATGTGGACTCCAACCCATCCGAGGCGGAGTCACCTCAACAAGAACACGAGGTCTCTAGCAAGTCCAAGGCGGACTCATCTTTAATGACAGTTGATAGGCTCTTACCCCTGGTAGCTCGGTATAGGTTACCCGATAACCTTGTGTATAGCACCTTAGGCAATTTTCCTTGGGATCATGGCCATGATGAGATCATGGTCTTCAAGGAGCAGCTCGTAGTTGGGTTGTGTTTTCCGCTTCACCCTTTCATAGTCGAGGCCGTCAAATTCTTCGACGTCGCCATAGACCAGCGCCATCCCAACTCAATCCGTAATATTGTAGGTACCATCTCTCTTTTCCATGACTATAACCAGCCCTTAGACCTCAACACCTTTTCCTCAATCTTGTCCATAAAGAAGAATTCAGCATGTGTTCTCCTCGAGCATAGGCAAAGTTATTATTGTCTCCTCGCCTTGGGTACAAACTCTTGCACGAGCTCCCAAACAAAGTCTCGGCCTAGAAGAGGTGCTACTTCGTAGTTCGTAACACTGTGGGGTGGCCATTTCCAACCCA